TTATATTGAGTGTAATTATTAATTTAAAAAGAATGAAGATTTTTAAGTTTTTTTTTTTAAATAGATTACAATTTAAAGAGAATGAAGATTTGAACCTTAGATTTAAGTTTAAGAGTATACTTTATGATGAAAAATATAATCATCAAGTCAAAAAATCTAAATGAAATCTTTAAATCAATTTCAATTGTGACCGAAGAGAAAAAAGTAAAAAAAAAATTGGACAAAATCATATGCTTCAACTTACGTACAATGAAACATCTATGGTTTGTTTTAATCACTTTCTTAATTTCCTTTTTCTCTTTATTAAGCTATGCATGGAGTACTTAAGGGAAAACTCTTCAAATTTAGCTAACATATAAGCAAATTGAAGTGTTTGAGTGCATTTTAAAACTCTTCAACTTTGATTGTTTTTATAAATTATTAAAATGCGCTCAAATTTATTTATATTTAGTTGAGAAATAAAGAGAAAGGAAGTGAAGGAAAATTATATTTTTCTATTATCTTTTCTTTTCTTTTTTATCTAAATAAATAATTAAAATCTGCAGATGGTTGTGAAAGGCAGCAAACATACTAGGTCTATCCATACTCCAATCAAATTTAGCTAAGAACAAAAATGTGAATAGCATTAGAGAGTTAAAATTTTGGGAAATAATGGATGATATGACCTAATAAAATTCCATTATGGAATGTAGCTCAGACATGTGAACTAACCTAAAGGAACCTAAAATTCTCAGGCATTTTAGTTTCAGGTCAGTTATGCTCTTCAATCCTTGTTTATGGTAAGATAGCAAATAAAAAGAAAAGGATAAAAAAGTCAAGAAATAGATAAGTGCAAAAGAGCAAAAGATGACAAACACCATTTTGAGGGGTGAAGACTATAGGTCAATACAAAAGCAGAAAGGAAGAAGCAATAAATTATGATAAGAGTGATAGATGCAGCCAATGACTGGCTCAAAGTGCAGGATTATAAAATGATCTATGAGATGCAAAAAAAGAAATGCATTTCTTGTTATAGAATGGGAAAGTGCAAACCAAAAATAAAAAATAAAAAAGGAAAAGAAATGCATTTCTTATTACAAAATGGGAAAGTGCAAACCAAAAATAAAAACTAAAAAAGAAGGAAACATAGTTGAACCCTAGCAACTAGCCCTCAAAATCAAACATAAACTCCAACACCAAATCCATTTGAAGTTGATAAAACTACATATAGGTTCAGGAGATGTATAGAAAGGTGCTTCATGTCTTGGGGAAAGATTGTCAGAAACTTAACAAGAAAAAAAATGCAAAATTTCAAAGAATAAATATATCACACAACCTCCTAAATAGTAAACCAAAGATTGCAATCAGTATGATAATGATTGAGTGGCAAGCGGAAGCCTTTATGAGCCAAACAAGAAGCACAGCACCCCAGAACTCACATCTAAACTTTCATACATTCATCAACCAACCA